GGGGGGGGGCGGCGCGTGTGGACGCGCGTGTGCCGCGCCGTGCGAGCAGGTGCCGGGGGCGAGGAAAGTGGCGCGGGGTGCCGGGCCGCGCCTGCCCTGCAGGGGTGTCGCTGGGCGAGGGGCCAGGCGGCCCAGGAAGCCGCCCAGCTGCTTTCGGGGAGGGAGAGTCGCTCTGCACATGGGCAGACGCGGGCTTGCCTCTGGGACCACCCTCGATCCGGGGCTGGCGTGCCCTCGTCTTCGCCCTCCACCACCACCGGCACTTTCCGCGGACTGCCTGGGCTTCCCGTTCTGCAAGGAGGCTTGCGGCCGGCCAGGCGCACGATCTCGTGTGCGTTGCGGGTCCCCCGAGTGTGTCTGCTGTGTTTCTCTCCGGATCCTTGTGCATGTCTCCCTTTTCTTGGGGGGTGTTGTTGCCTGACTTATGTCTGTGCCGTGCGTCTCTCTCCCCCCCGTCTCTCTCCTCCCCCCCCCGTGGCCTGCGATGTGGGGGGCAGCAGCGCCTGCCCCCGCTCTGTATCTCCCTGTGTGTGTGTGTGTGTATGTTTGGGGCCGGGGCCAGGGCTTCCCTGCGTATCTCTTCCCCTCCGGGCGCATGCGTGTGGCGCTGTGGCGCCGACTCTCCCCCCCCCCGCCCCCCCTGCCCCCCCAGCCGCACACACTGGCAAGGAGGAGGGTGGAGGCCATGTGGCGATTGCTCTGTTTGTTTGGGTTGGAAGGAGGCAGCGCCGTCCCGCCCAGGCCTTTCCTCTTGCTTGCCCTCCAAAAGTGCGTCCGACTTAGCCGGCCCTCCCTGCTCCGCTTTTAAATACTTCCCACCCTGGCTGCTTCCCTCCTCCCCAGATTTGGGGGTGCAAGCGACACTGGGGGGTAAGATCTAGCCCGGCACCCTTCCCTGCCTGAAAGCCCCGTTTGCAAAACACACGGCACCCGTTTGCGGTGGTGACGCAGGTTCCTGGCGCGCCAAGGCAGGGCCAGGGAACCTCTGAGCATGGCCTGAGTGCTCGGTATTTGCCGCCCCCCCCCCCTTCCGTGCTTCGCGGGCTTGCCCTGCCCTTCGGGAAGGCCTGGTGCACGAAGACAGGGAAAACAGCTCTGGGCTGAGCCCCTTTGGGCAGCGCTGTGGGGAAAAGGCCGAAAGCACCGGCCCCGCTCTGCCAGCAGCCTTGCCGGGCCCGGGGCGGCACGATCCTGGGCTTTGCAGGTTGGAAAGAGACGCCACGGCATGGGGGGTTCTGGCGGAAAGGGGGGATCAAAGGCATGGGAGAGACTCGGATTAGGGCCCGGAGGCTGAAGGGGTGCTTCAAGCGTTGCCGTCTAAATTTGGAAGCAGGGAGGGAAATTGCAAGAAAATGTGGCTGCGTCTCCGTGGCCTTGGAGGGCGGAGGCCAGTGTGGTCTTACTCGTTTCTCCCCGTCTGGGCCGGTCGGTCTTCAGGAGGGAGCAAACTGGGCGGCTGGGAGGAGGAGGAGGAGGCTGGGGAAGGCCACCTTCGGCCCCCAGGCCTCTGGGGGACCCTCATTTTAAGGATCGGGGGGGGAGTGCTGGCCACGGGAAGGAAATGTGCACGGAGTTAAAACCGATAGGGAACAGCCTTGCAAAGCTGAGCCAGGTATTCAGAAGCAAAGATCGGACCTGGCCGCTCGGGCAGCTGTTCTGACGGGCCCGGGACCCCCTTTGCGAGCCCGAAAGCGGGAAGAGTGGATCCAGGCCTCCCGGAACAGTTTGGAAGAGGCGGGCGGCACGCGCGCCAGAGGGGGAGCGAGATGGGGCAAAGCGCCCGCACCAGCAAGGCCCGTTGTCCAGATTGCCTCCTCCCCGCCGGGCTCAGCCGGGGCGCAGAGCCTGCCTGGCCTGGGGGCCGGAGGAGCGCTCGGGGGCCGCATCCCGGGGCTGCAAGGGGAGGAGCCCGCAGGCCGGCCCATTTCGGCGTGAAGCCCTCCTGGCAGCCGATAGCCGCAGGAGGGACACGTCAGCCTCGCAGGAAGCTGCGCTCCGGCCTGGAAACCACCAGAGGGGTGGGCGGGGCCAGGGGAGGGGGCGGGGCCTCTCAGGGTCCCCACAAGGCCAGGACGTGGCCACCAGAGGGCAGGCGGGGGTCCTTCTGCCTGGCCGTAAACAAGCCCCCCATCTAATGTGGCGGGGGGGGGGGTGTCACAATATCAGGCTCTTGCTAGGGGGTGTTGTGGGGCTTGCTGGGAAAATTATGCATGCAGCATTCTGGGAAAAGCTTGCTCTGCCCAGGCTAAATTGGCCTGCTGTTCTGAAGGGTTTATTTCTGTCTCAGGGTGGCCTGCTTGATCTGTTTCACCCTCGCAGCAACAACAACCCTGTGAGGTAGATTATCAACTGGCCCAAAGTCACTAGGATGTTTCCATGGCCGAGTGGGGATGGGATCTCGGGTCTCCTGAGTCCTCCTCTGGTGCTCTAACCACTAGGCCATACTGGCTCTTTTTGGCTTGATGAGGGTTTTCAGTGGCTAATCTGGCTGGTTTTCGTTCCCAGCTGTGCTTTTTGATACTTGTTTTGCACCTACTTACAGCTAAGCGATGGTTCTGTGTAACTTGAGATCCGTGTTCGTCTAACATGATGCCGTCACCTTTCCGTAGGGTGACCAAGATGCCGGGAAGGGCGTGGATATGCGAAGGCTTGTGCTCAAAGACTTCCTGGCCAGTGAGGAGATGTACATTAACCAGCTGGAAGCGCTGTTGCTGGTAAGTCCCAGTGGTGGGGATACTGACCTGATGGCGGAGCCATTTGGAAGGGTCATGAGCGCTCTCACAAAATGGTTGCCATTTGAGGGGGCTTGGGGGACGTGGGATAAAACTGACCTTAATGGTTTTCCCCTCCCAGGGTTTTAGGGAAAGTTGTGTGGGGGGGCTTGTTGCTTCCTGAACAGTTCTAATTTTTCTCCAGCCTTTCGCTGTGCTAGGCCTGACCAGTTTAAAAACAGCAAACTCAACTGGTGGTGAACTGGCGAGAAAGAGAGGAACGCTTGCGGAATAACCAAAACACAAAGCAGAAGTGGAGTCGGACGTCCTCTGCACCGCTCCTCTTCCGAACCCAGCCGGGAGGGCGGTGATGGGCTGCCCTTGCTTAGCAGCCCTCCAGCCTCCGATTAACACATTTTCAATTAAAAAAGAAAGAAAAAGCCACCCTTCAATAGAGTAAAAATCAGGAGCGGCGCACAAGAGACCCCCAGTGCAGTCTATTTTATGGACTGTTATATCTGTTGATATTCGTCAGATTTTTCTGTGTTTTATCAGGGCCCCCCCCCGGTTTGGAACGATATACTAAGGCGAAACAAGGAATAAATGTGCGCAGATCAGTAAAATACATATTAAACCCAGAGAAGGTGGAAAAGCAAGGAAAGGGCTGCTGCAATTCAGGATGTAGAAATGCGGCCCGGATCGGGACCATGGTGCAGAACAGGCCGTTGTCCTGTTTGTGCGGTAGCAACGCACCAGCAACACCTCCTGGAGGCCGTGTGCGGAGAAGATGGCGGTCACCCGTGGCTTGTGCCCCTGAATATGGGCCTGGCAGCTAAACTGCGCTTGCATGGGGAGGCTTTGTTTTGTTCCTCCTCCTCCCCCCGGCTTTGGCCTCTTGGGCCAATGTGAATCTCGGCCTGCCTGTCTGTCTCCGCACTAGGCACCCTGGGAAGGATCCTGTCTCTCACCTTCCCCAAACAGGTGGCCCTGGGCGTGTTGGAAGCTGCTCCAAGCATGCTGGTAGTTACACTCCAAGACACCCGGGCGGCATCCGGCTCGGGAAGGGCTTCTGCGGCTGCCAAAAGATGCAGAGCGTTGATTTACTTATTCGTTCAATTTACGCCCCACCATTTCTTTTAACAAAGCAGCTTCCGTCGTTCTCCTCTTCCTGCTCTCCTTATGCCCACAACAACAACCCTGTGAGGTAGGCTGGGCTGGGAGTCTGCGCCTGGCCCAGAGTCAGCTGTTGGCTGAGCGGGGGCTAGAACCCGGGCCGCCTGGTCCCAGCCCCGTGCTCTTCGCCGCTCTAGACTAATATCTCATCTTGCTCGCTCACTCGCTCGCTGAGTTTTTAAGCCCCCGGGTTGGCAAGGAAGTTGCAGTTCCTCATTGTGAACTAGCGGCTTCCCGGGGCTGGCTGCCGTCTCGACAGAAGCCTCTTCGTGGCCTCATACTGAAAATGCCCCACATTTAGCGCCCGGCTTCCTCTTTTGCACACGAGGCCCCAAGCAGCGCGCCTGCCTTGCGCAAGAGAGGCGGCACCGTGTGCATTTCGGCAGGATGGGAAACCGAAATGGGAAACGGTTTGCGAGCGGCGTGGGAGGATCGCGTGGAACTCTCGGCCTTCCCTTTGGAGAGCACGAGCAGAGCGACGGACGGCAAAACCGCCGCGCTCATCCCGGCCTCGCACAGACTTAGGGTGCAGCCCTGCCGGGGAAGCCGGGTGCAGCTCGGCAGCCGAACCGCGCGGGCGCCCAGGACCCGGCCGGCGCTCCTGGGTCCTCTCCGGGTCTCAGACAGAGATGGACTTTCCCGTTGGCAGTTGCAAAGCGAAAGCCAAGCCACACCTTGCGGGGAAGAAGCGCGCTAAAAAGAACACGGAGTCCAATAAACCAGACATATTACAGGAGCTTTGGAATACGATATAAAAAGATCTGTTTCTGTAGTCACACCCTGCGTCCCTGCGGATTTGTCTGGCGAAACGCGACCGGGGTGAAAAAGAAGCGTGCATTCGCTTCGGCAGGATTCAGCGATGCTCTGGATTTGGGGCAGAAAACGGGATTCCTTGAGCGGGTGGCCGCTGGGCGGGAGGGACGGAGGGAGGGAGGGAGGGAGCCGCCGGCCGCTCGCCCTGACGGAGCGTTCCCCCTTCTCTGTGCAGCCCATGAAGCCGCTCAAGGCTACGGCCACCACCTCCCAGCCGGTGCTCACCATCCAGCAGATCGAGACCATCTTCTACAAGATCCAGGACCTGTACAAGATGCACAAGGACTTCTACGAGAGCCTTTGGCCCCAGGTTCAGAACTGGGACAGCAGCGTCGTGCTCGGCCACCTCTTCCAGAAGCTGGTGAGAAGCTTCCGGAAGCCCCCGCCCCTCTCCCTGCAGAGAGCCCTGGCGTGGGCGCGTGTCGTGGGCGCTCTCACGCCATGGCTGCCCCCGGGGGGCCGGGTGGGCCACAGGCCACGACGTGCCGGTTCCGCAGGAAGCCTGCCGGTTGAAACGGCTCGGCGGGGGTGGCATCTCCGAGCCCCATCAGCTAGTTCTTAATTTCGGAAAAGGCCTCAAGGAATGACGCGGGCGTGGTGAACTCATTGCCAAGACGGTGGTGTTGCTGCCCCTCGAAGGATCTGGTTTGCCCGCACCCGTGTCCCCGTGCCTACAAGAGCGGGGTCTTGGGGGTGCACTGGCCATGTGCCACGCCGTTTCGGAGCCGGCGTGGGGGAAGATGAGCCGGGGTGCTCCGTGCTGGGCCGCTCGTGGGCTTGGGCGCTGGGGCCCTGCCTGCCCACTCCGGCCGGGCCTGCGGTCCGATCCAGCAGGGCAGAAGTTTGCCCGACTCTTCTCACGGCCCGGAGCTCTTCCGCCGTCTGGGCCATGCCTTGCTTTTCGCCCCGATTCGTTGGCTTCTCCTGCCAGGCCAAACCACAGAGCAGAGTGACAAGCCTTTCTGGCGGATGAGATATTTATTAATTGCATGAAACCAGGTCAAATAATTACCCAGGGTGGAAAGAACACACTCCACACCCTGTTCTTCAGCAGGCCCGAAATAGATCACCAAAATTTAGAGGAACTTGGGAGGCAGCAGACGGGTTTTTCCGGTCCTGCGAGTAAAGCGGAGACGGCCTCCACAGGACTGGAAATCGGGGGTGCGGGGCGGGAAACGGAGGCAGGTTGCCAGTTTGGGAGTGCACGTGATGTCAGAGCTCTCGGCCCCAGCGAGCACACCTTGCATTCGGAAGTGTGGTTGCGACGGAAGTGAAATGGAGATCTCGGCTGGTGTTGATTAGGACGTCCATCTCTGCCCCCCGTTCAGCTAGAAGCAGCCGGCTCAGCGGCATCCGGGGAACTGCCAAAACTGTTTTTCAGCTATTGCTCAAACCAATTTCCCAAAGTGGCCTCCTTATAATATACACTGGCAGTTTTTTGCTAGAAGGGGAAAAAAACCACACAAACCAAAAACTGAAACGCACAACCCAGAGAAACGGCTCCTTCCAGAACGGCGTCTGTGAAAAGTGAAAGACATTTTGGGGCAGGCTGATTTCTCCTTGCCTAGCGGCCCAGCACTGGGGCCGGGAGCAGGCGGCGGGGCAGTTTTTGTGGGACTACAGTTCCCATCAGCTCCCACCGTTGGCTATGCTGCGTCGGGCTTCCAAGGTCCACATGGAAGGTCACATGCTCCTCACCCAGAGCATAAAATTAGTTCTGCTCTTTTAAACCCTTCAACTCAGATATGGGCTTTAGATGTTCTTGTTGTGTGTGTGGGTCAGCGGATTTGTCGCCCAGTTGTTGCTTTTGACGGGTGCCGCGCTTCATCAAGGAGGCGAGCCTTCCCTTTCGGAAGACGCCATTCGTCCCGCGAGGGTCTGCGATGCGGGTGTACCTGGGCTGCCCCCTCCCAGCGTGGGCGGTTTAAGATCAGCAGGTCTGGAAGCTACACCTGAAGGAGGTTGTTGGCAGGCCGCATCGCGTCCGGGCCCGCCGGGAGGGTGGAGGGAAACCCGGTCCTCGAAGGACGGGGCGGATTTCGGAGGGGAGAGGGGAGGGAGACATGGCGGGGCCCCAGTGCCACCGAAATGCGTCCACAGCGAAAGGCGGAGGAAAGAAACGGGCTCCCGGCAACTCTGGGTGGTGGAGTAAGAACCAGGGTGGCCGGGAAAGGCAGACATGCTTGGCTCCAGCCTTGGCTCCGTCGTCTCCCAAGAGGAGCCTGGGAAAAGCTGGTCTGGACCACTGAACTTACTGGGTTTTTTCCACCCCCATCCCATAATAGGCCAGCCAGTTGGGGGTGTACAAGGCATTTGTGGACAACTACAAAATCGCGCTGGAGACAGCGGAGAAATGCAGCCAAAGCAACAATCAGTTCCAGAAGATCTCGGAGGTAAGGGTCCGTTAGCGGGGCCGGGCTTTCAGCTCTTTTCCGTCCTTCCCTCGGCAGCGGGGCAGAGCGGGGCCGTCCCGAGTTCAGTCCCACAGCTGCCCCTGCAAGGCAGGCGGGGGGGGGGGGAGAGGGGTCGGCCTGCTTGAGGCAGCCCCAGTGAGATTCCTGGCTCGGCAGCCACGAGTTCTTCGGTCCCTGGGATTGCAGGAATACGAGCAGATAATGCCAGGTCTCTGCCCCCAAGGAGCCTCCAGAGTGGGAGCACTGGCAGATCTCTTTGCCTGACAAAGAGGCTGGCAACTGGATGGGTGCGAGATTTGCTCTAGCTGCAAGCTGCACTGTAAGCAGAGTAAGATGGATTGTTTATTTCTTGGAAGCATATTTGTGTCTTTCACTGGGGGATCAGGAATCCTGGAGCAGATCACGTGCTATTAGGAAACAGGAGGCAGCCCCCGCCTGCACAGTTACAATCTGAAAGGACACGTCACAAGAGGAAAAAGGGGTGGGGAGGGAAGAGGAAAAGTGTGCGCTGCAGGCGAAGGTGTGGTTATGTGACACCTATTTTGAGACAAATTAATTGCGCAAAGTAGGCGAGACGGCATTATTTTTAATACTAGTTCTGCTAGCCAGGGGGGGGGGGGGGGGGGGAGGTGTGCTGAGTGTTAAGATCGCGCCCCCGCTCCAGGCTGCAGGGGTTGTCCTGCACATTTCCTTTCCCATCCATCAGCTTGATTAACAGATTGCGCCCCCTAAGTCCGGGCCTTCGTGCTACACCGAATCTCATTTCAACAATCCCAGCCGGCGGGCATCAAGCAGCCTCCGCTGGGAGCAAAATCTGGGCTCCTGACGGCCGGCAGGCACCAGTGGCGGGCAGACCCTCCAGTTCCCAAGCCAGTCTACCCCACGGCTGCTGGCGAGGCCCTCGGGGAGCTTCTAGTTCGGGGTTAGAACCTTTGCAGCGTCTCGGAGAACCCCAGCGGGGGAATCCGGGGCCCTCCAGGGGGGCTGGGCTCTAATTCCCACAGCCCATGCCCAGGGATGATGGGCGCTGTAGTCCGACAGGGGAGCCAGCCCAGTTTCACCGCACAGGGCCTCCCGCCGGGCCCCGATCCGTGCGGGGACGAGTCCCTCGTGGCAGCGGCCTCTGACGGATCGGATCGTTCCCTTTTGGCAGGAGCTGAAAGTCAAGGGGCCGAAGGACTCCAAGGAGAGCCACACCTCCGTCACCATGGAAGGTACGCCCCCCCCGCCCCCCCCGGCCACGCGTGCACCGAGGCCTCTGCCCATGGCTCCCGCCCGTGACCCCTGCCCCCGCGCGCGCAGGGCCCCGGAGACCCTCCCAGAAAGGAGCGGCCGGCATGCGCGGGGGGCGCTGCCTCCTTGGAATGCTGGCGGCGTCCGACAGCCCCTCACGTGCCCCCTCTCCCCTCCCCTCTCCCCTCTCCCCTCCCCCTCCCCTTCCTCCTCCTCCTCCTCCTCCTCCGCCGGCTGGCTTTGTTGCGCTCGGCACCGGCGCCTCGGACCACCGAGCGAGCCGGCCGCGATGGAGCACGATGCCCGTGGAAATGCTGCTGATCGTCCGCTTCTGCTGCAGCTGCACCTACGGTGGGCGTGGGCGCCGGCCCCCCGCTCTTTTGTTTGGGCAGGGCGGGGGCTCTCCGGGGGCCGGGGCTCTTCCGAGGGGCCCCTCTTGCGGCGCGGCAGCTGGGGGGTGCATGGGAAGGGGGCTTTGTCCTCCCCGGGGGAGCCCGGCGGCTGCTGGGCAGGCCCCAGTCCGCTCCCCGCCCGGCCGGCATCCTCCTCCTCGCCTTGCGTCAGGCGCTGCAACTTGCTGGGTTTCTTTGTTCCCGTATCCCGGAGGTGTGCGCTCCCTCGCCCCTCTGCTTCTTTGCTAAGAACGCTTCTGGTACGGGAAGAGCCGGGGGCAGCCCCCCAGCGGTGACTGGAGCCGCTCCGTGCCGGTGACTGGCGGGCTGGGGGTCCCGGGGTGCCCCTCGGCTTTGGGTCCGTCTGTTGCCCAGCTCCCTTCCACTGGTCGCCCCCAGTTCCCGAGGAGAGGGGCATGCGGGTCCCCGGCTCCCCCGTCCCCATCCCTGCCCTCCGCCAGCCCCATCGTTTCATTGATGGCCCATGCTGAGGAGGGGGGCCAGAGGCATGTTCCCCCCCCCCCCCCGGCACCACAGATGCTTGGGGCGGCCGCTTCCCCGCTCTGGCCCTCCGCAGGGGGGTCCCTTTAGGGCGAGCCGGACTCCGCTTCCTCTCCCCCCGCCCTTGCCGGCAGCCTCTGCTTCGGGGTGCCCCGCATCGTGAAGCGACACCCGGTTGTGGACGAGTGTGCTGCCTGTTCACCATCACGGGGCACTGGTTTTGGACTGGTTTTGCCCCGTCCTTTCAAAATCTAAGATGCCCCTTTCTCTCGTTTTTAATCATGGCTCCTGTGCGGCCACCCGCGGACGGGGGCTCCCCGCAGGCTGCCCGTTCCACAGAGCCATCACTCGGGAGAAGGTGTTCCTGGCGGATTGGGGCCGACGCGGCAGCGAGCGGGGCTCCCCTCGTCCCGCCAGTGGCCCCCGCGTGTCCCACCTTCGCACGGCACCCCCCCCCCCCCCCGGTGCCCGTATCGTACCGGTGGGAGAGAGAGCTGCGACCTCGGGAGATTTCGCATGCCGGAAGCGCCGGGGGGGTGTGGCAGGTCTCCTTCGCTCGGCTGCCTCAGAGCTGGCATGGTTTGCCCCCTGCCGTCTGAGGACGCGTGTTTCCAGTGGGAAGAAGCCGGGGGGATCCAGCGGAGGCGTCCAGGCGAGAACCGGAGCTTTCTGGATGGACCCTTGGCCGCCTCCTGCCAAATCCTCCCCTGCGTTGGAGTCGGATTCCGCCGAGACTTTTGGAGGACGACGCAGTGATCCTAGCCGCCCGGGGTCATTCTCCGTTTTCCACACCTGTGTGGCGGCGGGGGGGGGGGGGTTGTGTGCGCCGTGTGCACACGCCTGTGGGTCGTTGTGCCGCAGGTGGCCCAGCTGCGCCGACAGCGGGGCTCGCTCTCCCCAGAGGGACAGGACCGTGTGGCTGGGAGGGAAAATGCTCCCTCCTCTTGCCTTTTTGGGGTGTCTTTAGCACACGGGCCCCCGAAATGGACGGGAAGCACGGTGCGACCGTCCAGAAAGGAGGCTGCCTCCAAGTCATGTGGCCGCTTTAAGTGTGGCCAGTGCGCAAGGGCTCGGCCGGCGTGGCTGGGTGTGCGGCGAGGGGCTTCTGGAAACCGAAGAGTCCTTCACTCAGGAGGAATCTGTGGGAAGCAGCGCGAGCATCGTATTAAGTGCTGCAAGGGCACTTGGCAAGAGAGTCTTTGCATGTGAGGAAGAGAAACGCCGGTGTGTGTCGGTAAAGCTTGTGTGCCCTGCATGGGTTTTGGCGTGTGTGCATGTGCGAGCGGGGCGGTGCGTGTGAGTCTTTATGCTTTTGTGTGCGTTGGTGATCAGTGCGCGTAGCAGGTGTGTGCGAACATTGTGTACGCATGGCGTGCGTCTTTACGGGGTGTGTGTACACGTGTGTTTGTGTTCATTTATTTCTGCGTGTGTTTGTGTAACGAAGCGCATTTATACACGGCTTCACCTGTGAAAAAGCAGCTCGGCGTTTCTGCCCGTTCTCCTTCGGGGCCGCAACTCATACGGGGATTATCCGTATGTGTGTCAAGCTTTCCAGAGCAAGAAAAACAGATGCCTTTTTACTGTATCTTAGTCCACCTTGCAGACGTCTTCCAAGTTGGGGAGAAATTTATTGCTGTAAACTTTTCCCTGAATTTTCTAAAGAACGCCCTTCCTTTAAAATATCTGAAAGTTGAGCAGGGGACCGAAGGAAGGTTCGGGCGGCTGCAGAAGGACTCTCTGTGCTGTGTGCGTCCCTCACCCGCTCTTTTCCGTCTGTCCCCCACTTCCAGCGTTGCTGTATAAACCGATAAACCGGGTGACCCGGAGCACCGCAGTATTGCGTGTGAGTATTTCCCCAGGGGGCGGGCGTCATGCGTGCTTCTCGGCTCGTGCCGCCCGACCACAAGCCCGGCGGCCTCCTGTGGTGTCTGAGAGCCCACTTCCTGAATCCCCGGGACCAGGGCTTCCCCCCTCTTGGAGCCAAAACCCCTCGCTCAGTCTGCGTCTTATTTTTGGAAGCTTCCTTAATCCGATTAAGGGTTCCTGCATTCCTTTGGAGGTGCTCGTGAAGCGGCTAAAATTGCCGTGCAGAAGGGCCCTCTATGTAGGGCTGCAGACTAAAGCAGGGGTGGCAAACTGCAGCCCTCGGGGTGATTTCCGGCGGCCCTTGGACTTAATCCAGAGCACTCTGTGGGTGTTTCTCAGGCTTCGTTGTTAAATGATTGAATTATAGCTGAAGCTGTGGAATCCACTTCCCCAGGATGTCTGGGCGACTTTGCTGGGGAACGTGGGTGGGGGCACTGTGGCTCCCCCGTGGCCGACACGCAGCCCCTGCAGAAGGAAAAACGCCCCTTGCCCAGGGCGGCTGTGAGGGAGCCCCCGTTCTCGCCCCCAGGACCTGCTGAAGCACACACCCGCGGACCACCCCGACTACCCGCTCCTCCAGGACGCCCTCCGCATCTCGCAGAACTTCCTTTCCAGCATCAATGAGGAGATAGACCCCCGCAGAACGGCAGTCACCACCCCCAAAGGAGAGGTGGGTGAAGATCGAGAGGTGTGGGGGCTGAAATTGTGTGTGGCGGGGAGGCCTTTGCGTCGGGTGGGGTGGCAGAGAAGGTGTGTGGCCGGAAGGAGCCTCATCTGGGAATGTAAAGCGAGCCCTGCCGGAACAGGCTGAGGTTTGGACTAGCCCAGCATCCTGTCTCCAAGAGTGGACAGCCTCCCTGCTAGCCTGCACACAAGGGGGGGGGGGGGGGAAGCAGTCATCCTCGTTCTTGGTTGTTGCCTCCGGCGTGCCAGGAGGTTTCCCTCGACGTCTCCCCCCCCCCATGAATTTGTCTAACCCACCTGCCTTTTTAAGGCAACAAGTAAGAGAAGCAAGCAGTACTGTCCAAATTTGTCAAGAGAGCGGAGAAACGAAAGGACGTCTGGTCACAGGGAGTGCTGGAAATAGGTATTCCCAAATGTACGACATAAAGAATGTCTCTGAATAAGCCTCACACTTTGATTCTGGATGTAACTTAGGGGCATCGGGAGCAGCCGGTGCTGAGCCAGGCCCCGTGTCGGCATGGGCGGCTAGCCCAGGCCCCGCAGAGCTTCCGGGGCCGGGTTTTTCCCCCAGCCCTACCTGGAGAACAGCATGTGCCCACCCCACTCCTCAAAATAAGTTTCCGGTCCTCATGGCTCCGAATGGATCCCCGCCTCCCCGCTCACGCGCTCTCCCCCTCTCGCGCCCACAGACCCGGCAGCTGGTCAAGGACGGCTTTCTGGTGGAACTGGCCGAGGGCTCACGCAAGCTGCGCCACCTCTTCCTCTTCACAGACATGCTGCTGTGCGCCAAGCTGAAGAAGACGGGAGCAGGGTGAGGCTGCGGGCGGGCGGGGGGGCAGCGGCAAGCGCCCGGCTGCTCTGCCCTGTGCGGCGCCGCTCCGCTCCGCTCGCTTTAAAATGGCTTCTCTAGCTGCCGGCAGGATGAGAACAACGCGGGCCTTCGAGACAAGAACCCGACCGCTCCCGGTGCACCGTTGCCGGCCAGGCGATAGCGCTGTTGCTCCGCAAGCGGCTTAGGAGTGTCTTAAAATACTTCAGTGGCACATGGATGTGCCAGAGAGAGAGAGGAAGTGAGCCATGGGTCAGCCCAGGGCCTCTGCCTGGCGCCGCCTCTTGGGGAGGCCGGGAAGGTGGCCCGCCAGGGACAGGGCCTTCTCTAAGGCGGCCCCCACTGCTCCAGCGATCTCTCCAACGAGGCCGCCTTGGTGCCGACCGGATTCTCTTTCCAGCACCAACTCGAGCGCCCGTGCTTCTCACAGGCATTTGGCCGCACGGAATCACATTGTGCTCCGGTCTTGATTTCCTTTTTTTTTTTTTTAAGATTTTATTAAGATTTTTAAACTACTACTAAAAACATCAATCATCAAATACATTGAGCATACTGGTTCAGCCCCCTACTACATATTCTTAAACATTCCATAGTCATAATCAAATCCATTTATAACAACTTAAAGACAAATTTAAATCTAAGCCAAGTCCCGTTTCTCCAGCCAATAATAAAAAAATTCCCAAGTTTGATAGAAGTCAGTATCTTCTTTCTCCTTCAGTGATAAAGTTAATTATCCATTTCTGCACATTCTGTTCGTTAGTGGTTTTTAAGGGGTGGCCCATCTCTGCGTGTGTCTACGTGGTTTTCAAGGTCTGGATCTCTCTCTTTTTTTTTTTTGAAGAATTGTTTTTATTTTTTTAAAATAAGTTTATTTGAAATTATAATCCTAAAAAAAGAAAAGGAAACTGCAAATAACATCCATCATCAAAAACATCGAGCCCGCTGGGTCAGCCCCCACATCCTTCTTTTTCCATTTATGATAAAAACATATTTAAATCTAAGCCAAGTCCCGTTCCTCTAGCCAATAATAAAAAGAGTCCCAGGTTTGATAGAAGGCAAGGTCTGGATCTCTGTCAACTGCCCGGAGACCTTTGGTTGTGTGGCAGCTGGGGGAAAAAATACACGAAATTAAGCAGTAACAACACCCCCACCCCGCCCCCGGGGAGGCCGGTCTTCATGCTGGTACATGGTGCGCTTTCTCCCAGTCTGACGGCCTGCTGCCTTTGCAGGAAACACCAGCAGTATGACTGCAAGTGGTACCTGCCCCTGGCGGAGCTGGTCTTCCCCTCGCTGGAGGAAGCCGACTCGTGCCCACACGTCCACGCCCTGCCCGACCACGACCTGGAGGACATGAAGATCAAGATTTCGTCGATGAAGAGCGAGGTGCAGAAAGAGGTGAGCATCTCGGGCTGGGCAGAAGGACCTGGCTGGAGCAGGGCAGACGTTCCGGCTCGGCCCAGTTTCCTGTCTCCAGCAGGGGTCAGCCGGGTGCCTTGGGGAGGCTGCCACCTCCTGCTCCAGCCGGGTCTGTCCGGAGCAGCTCGCACGCACAGGTAGACTGCTCCGGCGCATGGCGGGCCCACTGGCTGGCTTCGCCCTGGGTGTCTGCATCTCAGCCAGCCCCCAGATGCTCCACGCTCCCAGCGTCCGTCCCGTGCAGGCAGCCCACCCAGTGTTGAGGGAGGCTGGGGGTCCCGTTCAGCAAAGGTGCCGTTTTCCTTGGGCTGCGCCTGCTCCCGGCCGAGCTCGCCTGGGGCTCGTGCTCGTGTTTGTTCCCGTGGGCCACACGGACGCCCCTGGTTTTCTGGGCTCCGTGGATCAAAGGGTCATTGCGTCCAACGGGGGGGGGGGGGAGCCCTTTCACCACCCCCCCCCTCCCCCCCCCCCCCCCCCCCCCAGAAGGCGAACAAGGGACAGAGCAGGGCTGTGGAGCGCTTGAAGAAGAAGATGTTCGACAACGAATTCTGGCTGCTGCTGAACTCGCCGTCCATCCCCTTCCGGATCCACAGCCGCAGCGGGAAAGTACGAACCGACGGGGGGGCGAGAGGCAGGCCTTTCGGGCCAGTGGGTTTGGGGGGGTGGCCGGGCAGCCCACACTCTCCGGAGGGGCTCCATCCCTCCAGCGTCTCGGGACGCCTTCACGCCCACCGCCTCGCCCGGCCTCGGGGCGCTTTGGAGGGCATTTGGGGAGGCGCCAGGGCGGTGGGGGGCCGCTTGCCCCAGCCAGGCTGAACCACCCCCTCGCCCCGCTCTCCTTCCAGAGCTACCTGTTCCTGTTGTCCTCAGACTACGAGCGCTCGGAGTGGAGGGAAGCCATTCAGAAGCTGCAGAAGAAAGGTAGGGCTGCCGGGAGGCACCAGCGCCGGCCTTCAGGTCCTAAGAAAGGGAGAAGGGCCTGCAGAGTCCACACTCCAAAGCCCTCCCTTTGGGGTCCCCCATCCATGACGGCCAAGGCCTGGAGGATCCAGCTGGCCATGGCAGGATGCCTCTGCTGCTCCCTCGTGGCCTCCAGAGAGCGTCGCGGCATCGCCCAGCACCCTTCCGCCCCCCGGGAGCTCTCCAGGTGGGCCAGATGGCCCCTCCATTGGCTGGGGATGATAGGATTGCACCTCAGGAGGGCGCCCTCTTGGGAAAGACTGGCTTGGGGCGGCGAGAGCGGGCCGCCCCCAGGAAGCTGCCAGCCCCACGTGCCTCAGGAGTCTGCCTCCGCCTCCCCCCTCTTTCCCCCACCCCGGACAGATCTCCAGACGTTCGTGCTGAGCTCCGTGGAGCTGCAGGTCCTGACGGGGTCCTGCTTCAAGCTGCGCACCGTGCACAACATTCCCGTCACCAGCAATAAAGACAGTGAGTGGGGCTCGCACCCCTGGCTTTCGGGGCCCCCCGTCCTGCTTCCCGTAGAACCGCGAGGGGTGGCCAGCCGGCGTTTCCAGAACTGTCCCTCTCTGCCCCAGCTGCTACTGAGGAGGCACCTCGTTCCTGCCCTCCCCGAGAGTCAGGAGTATGCCAGGCCGGATACTCACGCATAGGGGCGCCAGCCACTTCAGCAGCCGAGCTCCTTTAGCGCCCGCAGGCGTGTGGTGGTGGCCGGGGCCTCATTTTCCTCTCATATTCCGTGTTCCCACAAGCGGCCTGCAGGGAGTCCTGAGCGACTTGGAACAGAGCCCGCTGCTCCGTGTTATGTCGCCCGTCCCTCGCGAGGGTGACGTCACTTTCCTTTTTGAGGTTAATGGGGGGTGTGGTTTCGCTCGCGGCCCCTTTTCACTGCAGCTCGGGGGTGGGAATCCTGCTCTGCACACGGAAAGCCGCAGCGTTTCGTCTGGGCAATCGGGTGTGATTGAAAAAAGGGCCCAGCAGCCACTGAAGGGAAAGGCACTCGACTTTGCAGGTGCTTTGGGCAGCGGCTCCCATCATCCCCGGCCCTGAGGTCCCCAACCTTGCAGGCAGCAGACTGGTGGCAGGCTGGCCCAGGGCCTCCCCTGTGCTGGGGGGTGAGGGTAAGGGCCACCGAATTCAGCAGCTCTCCCCCACTAGATGGCACCGAAAGTCATTGCTTTGTCCTCCTCGCAGGTTTGCCAATTAAAGGATGGCTAGAGTGGTCATTTTAGCTCCTTTTCGGCTTTTGCGAGCGCTTGTATCTGTACGTCCCGGGGTATTCGGCCCCCCTGTGGATCCGGAGGCCTGTGCGGGTGGCTGGAACCCTCTGACCAGGCCTCCTGGGCCAGAGGGAAGGAGCGCGGCGTGGGAGTCGCTGGTCCAGAAACCCTTCGCCGGCTGAACTGCACGGCTTCAGTGGTGCTGGCCCCCTCCCCTCTCCGGGGGCGATTTTCCAGCCTTGGAGGCATGGCTCTTTCTGTGCCAACCGTGGGGCCTGTGGGGAGAGGTGTCAGAGCCGCAATCCCAACCGTCCTGCTCGGAGCACCTTTCCGACCTGCCAGACGTTCCCGAACCACGTGGGAAACATTGCGGGCCTATCAAACCCGCGCTGGCCGTGCTCCCCGGCCCGGTGTGGACGAAACCGCAGCTCCTTCCTACTCGATGAACAATTTAGCAATTTCCTGGCGCTTTCCGCCTCGCAGCCTCGGGTGCAGCTTCTTGTTTTCGCTTTCTGATTGCAAAAAGAGGCAGGTACGTTGCTTCTTCCTGTAATAACCCGGCCGCATCCCTCCTTCGTTGGGGGGCTTGTCCTTCGCAGATGACGACTCCCCAGGGATGTACGGATTCCTGCATGTCATCGTCCATTCTGCCAAGGGCTTCAAGCAGTCGGCCAGTAAGTGCCCTCCCCGAGCGCGTGGCCGTGGGGTCCCCCACCGCCACGCCCCACACGGCCCCTTTGCACCAGCCCGGCGGGACCCTCCGTGGGGCTGGCGCGCTCAGGGCCCCCCCGCTGCTCTCTCCCCCCCCAGACCTCTACTGCACGCTGGAAGTGGACTCCTTCGGTTTCTTCGTCAGCAAGGCGAAGACGCGCGTCTTCCGAGACACCACCGAGCCGCACTGGAATGAGGTGAGGGGCCTTCGGGCCGGGACAGGCTTGGTGGGGGCCAGGGACGCAGCTGGGCCCGAGAGCACGGCCCTGCTGGCCCCCCAGGAACATCAGGGGCAGCCGGGCAGGCTCCGAGGCCCTTTTCCTCCCAAAAAATCCCTGGGGAAAAGGACGGGAACTCTGGGGGTGTTTTCCTGATCGCTCCCCCTCCCCTCTGCCCGCCCCCCCCGTCGCGCCACAGGAATTCGAGATCGAGCTGGAGGGATCCCAGTCGCTGCGCATCCTGTGTTACGAGAAGTGTTACTCCAAGAGCAAGCTGAAGAAGGACAGCAACGAGATCGTGGACAAGATCGTGGGCAAGGGGCAGGTGCAGGTACGAGGCCCCGGACACGCGGAGGGGAAGGGCAGGAAGCCGGGCGCCTGCCGGCTGAGTGCGGCGGAACCGGGGAGCAGGACTTGCGGGAAAAGATCGCGCCTTGTGGAACGTCGCCTCGTGCGGAGAGGCATACCGAGCGCTCTTGCTGCAAAGCCTCGCATGCAGAAAGCCAGCCCTGCAATTCCTCGATGCAGCCGGTTAGCACCACTCCTGCCCCACAGAACTCAGGAAATTTGCCCCCTGCTTGCAGACTCCTTGCCAGAGAGCTCGACAAGGGCTGTGGGCTGTACAGACGGCGCTTCCCTATTGCAGTCGGGCTCCGGCTTTGATGGGGTGTGTGTACCGCAGCGGTGGGCGCTGTTCGGTGTCTGAGGGAACATGTGAAGACCCCACCTTGGAAATGTGCCAAACGGCCCCTCGGGCAAGGCGGGGGTGTTGTTTGGTCATCTCGGGCAGTGCTGGGTGCTTTTCCCTTTGCAACACTGAGGTCTAGCACCTTGCTTCTCTCAGTCACACCACGGCGTCCTGTGGGGATGCGCTCTCCCCTTCTAGCAGGCTCCCGTGCCGCCTGGGCCTTGTTGTTTCTCGCACCCATCTCTCGCCCACCGGTTGTTTCACAGGAAATCTGGTTCTGATGAGAGGCGCAAACCGGGACGGGGGACTTTGGATCGCCCCAGGCGGGGCCCAGCGCAGGGACCTCGGAGGGAACAGGCCTCTTCTCCTGGGTCCCTCGCCGGACGAGACCCCTGGCTCTGGCATGCTGAGCGGGGGGGGGGGGGGCGGGAGACGCGCCCCGTTTCAGCGTTTATTTATTTAAAACATTTCTAAGCTGCCCCCATTGCAGCAAAGCCTCGGGGCAGCTCTCGCTGGCCTCCAGAAGCTCGTCCGCCTTCTCGGGGGGGGCGGGGAAAGGCGGCCCCCCGTCGGGGCCCCGGGGCCCAAGGTGTGGCCGCCCTGGAGGGGGCCGGGACGCGTGGCGACTTGCACCCTGCCGGGCTGGGCAGGTCCGACTGGGGACGGCTTCCCTGCGGCGGAGACGGCGAACGAGGGCCCCGGCGTTCCCAAGACAGCGCTAATTGCCCTCTCCCGGCGAGGATCGAGGATCGGGGCCTTTTCATGAATGCAGGCGTTCATCTGTCACACACTCGCTGCGGCGGAAGAAACGGCGCCCGGCAAGGTTCGCCCTCCGACGGCACCGCACGGGCCGTGCCGCCCGGGGCCCGGCCGGGGCACCCTCAGGGAATCGTGGCCCGGCCCTGCTTGGGGGGCAGGCTGAGGCGGGGGCCCCGTGCACCGCTGCTGCTCGGCTCGCCGGCCCCTTTCTCCCAGCAACTTCATCCCGCCGTTGCTGCAGCAACAGTTGCTACGGAGACGGTTGGGCTTCCGTGCTGATTGGGTGAGGGGGGGCCACGCGTGTGGAGGGGAGCGGGCCGGGCACCTGCGTGTGCCCAGGGAGGCCCCCGAGGCGGAGGGGCTGCCGGCGCGGATGCGTGCTCCCTGTCTGCCTCCCGCGCCCCCCCGGCGGGGCAAAGGCGAGGACGGGTTCAGGACCAAGGCCGGCTCTGTAGAGCTCAGGGCGAAATCTGGAGCAGATAATGGTCCCGCTGGTGCAGAAGCCACCGGAGGGGCCTGCCTTGGCCCCGGTCCTGGGGAGCGGTCTCCGCAAGCCCTCCCTCCCCCGGCTTCTGTCCCTCAAGGGTCTGTAGCCCCGGAAGTGGTCCCTTTGCCCGGCTCCCTTTCCTCATGCAGGCAGCCAAGTGGCTTGCGAGGTCCTGCCCCACCGAGCATCGCAGAGGGGATGCCCTGGGGGCGTCCCCGGCCCGGTGGGGGGAGGCCGTAGCGGCCGCTGAGGAGGCCGCCTCCCCCGGCGTGAGTCATCGGTGGCTGGCCGTGGCGGCGATTCCGGCCCTGGGAACGTCGGGGGCGGCGGAAGTGCTCTCTGGAGACGGCAGCTGGGCCTGGCCCCCGGGCGGCAGAATCGGGGGCTCTCGAGCGCGGCTCCCACATCCCCGGGGGGTGTGGGCTGCCCCTGAGCCGGGCGCAAGGCAGGAGGAGCCGGGTGTGGCGCTTGAGCCCCCTCCCTCCCTGGGACCCCGGTGGGCCCCTGGCCAGCATGGACTAGCATCTTGACATGGTACGAGGCCTGTGCCGCACCTCAAATCAGCCTTTCCCCTCTGCTGTCAATGAGGACTGGGGTCTTAGCTTTACGTTTTAAACGACAGGGCAAAGAGCCATGTGCTCCTTCTCGTGCCGCCATTCCCCCGGCGACCCCGTGCCCTGGCCGGCTCACCAGCTGAGCACAGCGGGACGTGCCTGGAGGCAGAAGCTGGACTGGCCGCCACTTCCGCAGCCCCCCCCCGGGCTTGCCCCCCCCGGGGCCAAATGCCCCACCCTGCGCCCCGGCCCCCCAGGCCTGGCCTGCGGCGCCCAGAGCAGCCCTTTGTCGGCGAGAGGCGAGCTGCTGGTTCCAATTAGCTGGGCGGCTTGCGGGCTGCAGCCCCCCGGGTCGGGGAGGCGGCAGGGTCTCCGCCGGGGGAGCCGTCAGCCTGGCTCATGCGAGCCCTTGGGCCTCCTGGGGGGCCCTTTCGGGGGGCACGGATTCCCTCTGCCTGCCCGCACGCCGCGCTCTTTCCTTTTGGGAGCAGCCGGTGGGGCGGGAGGGACGGCCCCTGCCTTCCGTGTCCCGGGGCCCCTTTTCCTGGGGGGAAGCCGTTCCTGCGCCAGGCTAGGCTGGCGCCCCCGGCCTTGTGGGACCTCTCCCCTCTCATCCTCCCACCGCTGTGGGCTGCAGCCGATGGGCTCGTGGGCCACACGGGCCAGGCTGCCTCCCCGGCAAGGTCGGAGGATCCGGCTGGAGCGTGCAGAGAGCCCCCTCGAAGCCCTGCCTGCCTCAGAGCGCTCAGCCAAGCCTACCTCGCAAGGCTGTTGCGAGGCTAGGAGGCAGGGAGAGCTCGGTCTGCTGCCTCGCGTTTCTCGGCCGAGGCATCCCAGCCGGGTGAGCAAGTTCCCGTGGTCCTTGAGCCACAGGTCCGGGAACGGGAGTGTGCTGTGGGTGCAGCCACAAAGCTCTGGGGGGGGGGGATGGCCCACCTGGCAGGGTTGTCGTGGGCAGAAGTGCCGGCAGCCCCCCTGCGCACGCAGCCCCGGCCCTTTTGGGGCTCGGCGTGGTCCTGCAGCGAGGCTGACGGACGGGGCAAGGGCGCCTGGGGGCTCGCTCGGGGCTTCCCGGGGTTGTGCGAGCTCCGTCGCTCGCCCCCCTCGCCCGGCCGTGCCGGAATGGGGGTCCGGTGCCGCCAGACCCGCTCCGGGAGGCTGGGTTTGGGAGAGGGGAAGCGTGGCCCTGGCAGTGGAGGAGTTAACCGGCTGGGAAGGGGAAAGAGCTTGGGGGGCCGCGAGGGAGGGAGGGAGGGAGGGGCGGACCCAGCGACTGAGCAGCATCCAGGTCTGCAGGGATGCCGAGCCTGCGCTTCCCGAGGGCCGATCCGCTGCCCGCCGCCCCTCCCGCCGCGTCCCGCTAGCCGAAGGGGGAGCAGTCGCGCCCTCCCTGCGCGGGGGCCCCAGCCAGCCCGCCCGCCCGCCCGCCAGCGCGATGACCGAGGTCCTGGTGCAGCCCGACTGCCCGCTCAGCCCGGCCGGCGACCGCCTGGAGCCCGGCTCCGGCGGCGGCTTGCAGGATGCCCCGGAGGGCAAGCGGCCACCCAACACCGGCGCCCGGCTCTGGGGCAGAGTGCGCAGCAAGCTTCTCCGGCACAAGGTGTGTGGGTCGGCCGTCGGCATCCCCGCGTCCCCTCGCGACCCGCCGTGTTGCCGCGCTGGCGTCGTGGCCGCGGGAAGTACTTTTCCCGGCTCGCTCGGCTCGGGAGCTCGCCGCGCGCCGGCTGAGTGTGTGGCAGGGCTTGCCCGGCAGCCCCGTTTCTCTCCCGTTCGACTTGTGCTCCCGGATCGAATGTTTGCCTGCCCGCCCGCTGCTCCGTCCAGGCGGCACCACTGCGTCCCGGCCCCTTCCCCTTTCGGTTTGAGGAGTTTATGGAGGGGCGCGCCCTTGTGAAGTAGCCGTCGCCCTCCGTGGCAGCCAGAGCCTGTGTTTGGTTTCGGCATTGTGCCGTGCTTAGTGAGATCTAGCTGCTTGCGCGGTTTAAGTATCTACGTTTTTATTAAATGTATATACCCCAACCTGCAGCCCAGTTTAGGGCTCTCCGTGTGGCCAGAGAGCGACCGCAGGCATGGCTTTGACGCTTGGGCACGGCCGGTCTTGCCTGCACGGACCCTGGAAGCCCATTCAGCACCTCTTCTCGGGCCAGGCGACCCTTCAGGTGCCCCCAGAGGGCTCCTTTCTCTTGGCTTGTTTTGCAGTCCAGCATACGTCCAGCTCTGGCAGGAGATGCACTCTGCCCATGTTCAGGAGCCCTCCAGGCCCTTCCCAACCAGCGTGGTTGCACCGAGTCTATCTGGAGCCGCTGGCCAGCCTGCCGGGGTGCAAATGGGGCTGCCCCCTTGCTGAGCAGGCGGCCCCCCCCCCCCCCCCCCCCCCCCCCCCGCGCTCCCCTCTTGGGCTGCTGACATGCAGGGAACATGAGACGGCTTCGTGCACACGTCACAGGGCACTGGCAGATCCTCGTCCTTTTGGAGGTGACGGGGGGGGCAGCCCGAGCGGGAAGTGCTGCCTCGGGGCTTCTCAAGGGCGCCCCCAGACCGACTCCCCCCGCCCCCTAGCCCTCGCCCCCTCGCGGCGCTTTCTCCCAAAGTTCCCTGCACGCACGGGCATGTCTGGCCAAGGCGAAGGCGTCCGGAGGGCAGAGACCCTCGGGATGGGGGGGCCGGGGACTCGCGCGTGCAGGTGGGGGTCCCAGATAGAGGTGGTGGGGGAGGCCGCCTCCACCCAGGGGAGCAGCCGCTGGCCAAGGCCGGCAGTCCCCAGCCAGGTGGGCTGCTGGTGGAGACGCTTCGGATCGTAGCCTCAGAGGGAGAAGGTTCTCCAGGAGCCCCGGGAAGAGAGG